GTGTGGTATTTGTACCCCTAATGGCGGATCAAGGGGTAATAGTAGTGGAAAAGGGCGAGATTTGCACGCCAGTTTGGCATTTAGTGAAATCTCTCACATGGCTTGCTCAACCTCATTATCAGAATTTCTAAAATTGACACGACAACATTGTCGCAAGGCCCTTTAAACCCTGCACCGACTGCAATGGGTCATATGTAGGGGAAGGTGATAGTGGCAATATTGAGGTGTTTATTGTGAATAAATGATATGAGGAAGGGAATGTAGGTATGTGAAGAGCGTAACAAGACGCTGAGGGGAAAGGATATGAGAGGTGAGTATAGAGGAAGCGTGGCAGGACGCTGGAAAAGGGGTGAATGGATAATTGGGTTTTTATAGGTATATTGAGACGAAGAGGGATCTTGCTATCTAAAGAGAAATGTTACTAGGAATCTTCCTACAGTTTAAATACTTGGGCCGTGGCATCTCAAGGAGAGCATGGCCATCTGTGATATGAAAATGGGAGCCTCGGGAATGCATGCTGCTTACAGTCGAGCAGGCAGTGTAATCCTTTGCGTGGCATAGAAATGGAGGGATTTGCATGCCAGTCGGATGTTTGGTAGGTGATCTCCCATGTGGCTTATCCAACTCTGTCATTGGAATATAGGAAATTGTTACGACAATAGTTTATCGGATCCGATATAGTCTAACGGTTAGGATGTGTGGCTTTCACCCACAAGGTCCGGGTTCGATTCCCGGTATCGGAACTTTTTTGCAGATGATCTATCTCTTTGTGATCCCCACGACATCGTGGAGATTCTTGTCAAATTCTTTTGTGTGCCAGGATCGCAAGTGTGGTGGGGTTTTTGGGGGCGGCTGATGGGCTATGCCCATGGCACCTCCAGGAGAAGGCTTGTTGGATGTCATTATTTTAAATAAAGGAATATACGAATGTTAAAAGCTAGCGCAGTGGCCGTAATGCCAGGCCCGAGACTGCCTAGGGATGGGATGACTTGGTGATAGTATATAACGAAACTACGGACTATACGACTATGTTTATTTCCTGCAAATGCAGGGTTCAAGTTACTTATATAGGAAAAGTTTGACTGGCAGGCGCAATGCCCAGGCACAATCACTAATCTTTTCTCTATATGTGAATAAACTATGGATTGGGGTCCTGGCGGCACATTAGGGCGCCACTGCCAGCCCCGTTACCAATAAGAGAACGTTAATGGCCATTTGGCCTGGGAGACTGCATCAGATACAGGTTATAACCGGTTCTCCCAGCCACCACTGGCCTTCTGCACTGCCGCGATCTCCCTGTGGGACTGCTGTGTTGCCAATCCCCACGACAAAAGCCCTTAAGGATCATAAGTTAGACACGACTGAAACCAGGAACTAACCGCGTATTAATGCTTAGCAGTGTCCGGCCTGCCCAATAATGTGTTAAAATCACTACAACCAGCAATGCATTGCATTAATTTATTCACTGTATTATATGAAAAGATACCACCTACCTAATTCCTTTTCCCATGTTCATCTCCTTATCGGTATATCCTACCATTGCCAACAACCTTTACTTCTCTCTTCAGTTACTTTCTTCAAGTTAACATGTCTATGCCCTCACCATATCTCTCATCCTGACTCATTGGGCAATGCATTCTCGTTTACCATGAAAGAAAAGGAATAAGAGACAGTGCCAATAATTGCGACGATGCCCTCCAATGTGTCTACCTTGGCTCGACTTAAATAGCGCTTCTAATCCATCTATGTCTAGTGGTGACAGCCAGGCCCAATGAGATACTTCAGCAAACAAACATTATTTCACATGGAAGATATTAGATGAGTCGGCGACTGCCATCATGCCACCTATTGTGTACCAATACCTTCATTGAGCTTCGACCAACTCTGAAGCGGCAGTGCAGTGACCTTTACTGCCCAGTCCTAGGGGGCGCGGTCCTCACACCACCATCCCTTGTACAATATCCCCAGCATTGAGCACTGCTAAGGTGAAAAATGGATATACCCCACCACATCCCCTCTAGTACTTCACATTGCTTATTTTAGTCAAGCCTTCATTAAATTTCATTGGGAATGATACGGTCTCCCCGCCTCGTGCTGCTGCTACTAATGCACATGTGGGTCAATGTGACATACTGACCTTAGTTACCAGCATATCTATGACAATTAGCAATTGATAGATCTGACAGCGCCACACTTGTTGTCGTTGCTCCTGCTGTTACCTTGTACCCAACTAATATCGTTGATCATAGTTGCAGGTGGCGTCTCTTGGAGGTGGCACGATTTGAGTGGGTAAGCAATGGGACCACTCACAAAGCAGACTCAGGTCAAGGTCCAGGCACTGCAAATTTATTTGTTTTCGGAGAGAGCGGGTCGTAAACGCCTGGTGATTATTGCACCTTTGTACCTACTGTCAGTCCAACACAAACATTTTCACCAGTAGCAATAACCATGAATTACCCTTCCCTAGGTCCTTACAGTAGTAATCGCATGCTAATCACAGGGAGCTAGGATGCTACAATGTCTCCTGGCCTTGTTATAAGTGAGCGTCATCATATTACTAGTTCCCTCAGAGTTTGCACACACATAATCTTATGCTGTTGAGGCTGCTGCAGGCTCTCCTTCCTGTTTGGCAAACAGTGAGGTCATATACCACTGCCATTTGACGGCAAATCGCCTAGGGTGGGAGGCGTCAGCTAATAGCCACCGAGAATTTGCCGCCAGCCTGATTGTACCAGCCCCACATAATATTAACTACTCCCTAACTCTCTTGGCTGGGGTGATTTAGCGATGTCGCATCCTCTTTCTCTCTCGCCCTCCCCTCCACTTATTGCCTTGTTGCGCTATTTCCTGGCTTCCCTTCGTCTTGTCTGCTCGGTACTCGTATCCCACTAGTATGCAAACACTTGGTGCTGTCCCTGCAGCAGCAGCGACAGCATCGCCCATATACTCAAAGCCCTGCAAACATAACAACAACGAGACCATACTGAGAATGAAGGGCCAAGGATTTCTGCCCGGAATGCAGACACCAGTCGCCGTATATAATGCAGTCTACTCACCTCTCAGGCTACAGTGCCAGCGGTGGCTGGCCACAATGGTCGAGAGAGAGGTACCCTTCCTCGTACAGCTCCAGGTAGGCATTGTATTTTCCAAATGTCCTGCATATTTGCTAGAAATGGCACTGGGGACTCCTGCTACCTCTCTGCCGCCTTTCCTCTCTAACCATGAACTAAACAAAAACATTTCCACCGCTGTATACAGAAAAACTGGCGGACCAAGTTTTTAGACCAATACTTTCAGCTCTCAGCGATAATCGGGAATCACATGTTTTTCTTCACGGTCCTCCCCGTCCTCAACTGGTTGGGCCTGGGCCTGACCGCCCGCACTGCGACCTACGTCGTGCTGACCACCGTGTATCTCACGGGGATTGCCAAGGACTATTTCTCGGCGCCTCG